CATAATTGTTTATCATTCATTGGTAATAATATTTGATTTTGAATTAATGACCAATAATCATCATTTGTATCATTTATTGTTCGATCTGTTGAATATTCTATTCGTGTTAGATTCATAGGTTGATCATTATCATCATCATCGTCGTCATCATCATCATCAGCTATGGTCGACATATCATGATCATAATCTAAAGAATTATAAATACAAAAATTTCTTCGATAATATGCAAGGCAAAAAAAGGATTCTAAAAATATTTTACAAAAATTTCACTTCAAAAAACAAACCACTTAAATTAAGCATAGACTAATTTCGAAAAATTAACTGAATAAGATAACCGGGTCTACATTAATTGATTGAAATGACAACTAGTTGCAGTATAGAATTGATCGCAATATTGAAAAATAAAATCGGCAAAAAATTATCTTAGCATTATAGAGAAATAATTCAGTTAGATTTAGAAAATAACTAAAGACCTATTCAAGGATATGAAGGAGAAAGTAGAAATATAAATATGAATGTTGACTGAACTCATCTAATGGAGCTTAAAGCCTTACATGTAAAGAAGTAATAGTTGCTTTTCAAATTTTATCAAGATCTTCTATAATTTTTCCTTGTTTTTTAATTTCTGTTCGCTACAGTTTTCACTATTCGACAATGGATATAGTTTTCATCTTTTCGTAAGCTTTCAATAAATTCAAAATGTGAATGTCAACAGTCAATTATTCTTTATCAACAACATCATCTACGAATTCATTTCGTGAGATGAATCTTCATTTTTCACAACGCCTATATGTGATTGAATCACATGTCTTTAAATTGAGGTTTGTGTGAAAAGTGAAATAGAGATCATGCTTCTGTCAAATAGATCACCAATTCCATATTGCAACTAATTGTCACTATCTCCTAATATATATCTGATGAAATGTATCAACCGATTTTTCATATACATCAACGTAGATGGCACTTATTGATCTTTCGAAAGATTGTTTTTTTTTTTAGAAATGACTTCCATAGTACGAGTGTTTCTGTTTTTTCTTTCGCATAAATACTCGAGAGATTAGATTGAATTTCAAAAACAAAAAAAATTCATTGTGTTCATGTCTATAATGAGACGAATAACATTCCTCTGATAAAAATAGGTTACCTGATGTTGTTGTACTAGTTGGATAAGTAAGAAAACCTCGTCTAATAGGTCGATTTTCACGTTGAAATATTGATTGAGCTAAATTTGTAGGTAGATCATTAGTTTCAGAGACAAGATTAAAATTTGTTTGTTGTTCTTCAGTATTATTCAATGAAATTCTAGTTGGAGGTGGAGTAAATGGTCGATGAAGTTCTTCTCGAACAAATGAACTACCATTATGTGATAATAAACGTGATGATGAAGAATCACTGTTCTGATTTTCACTAAAATGATCACGAATACGTTTTCTTTGTTGACCACCGGTTTCATTATCTTCCCATTTATCAAACATTGATGATGAATTTCTTTTAAAATTTTTTTTATTTAATAAACGTGGTGACATTGTTAATAAATGTTTAGGTAAACTATATTTATATAAAAATTCTTCTTTTGTTTGAGCAAATTTTCCTACAGTTAATAATTCAATTAATTTTCCATTTTTTTCATCAATATGATATAAATGTAATTTTTGATGTTGAATTGATAATATAGCTAATGTTGATTTATATATTGTTAAACCAATACGATCAAATTGAAATTCAAGTTGTTGACATATAATACCACGTGAATAATCAATAAGAAATATAAGAAAATGTTCAAAATAAAATCTTGATAATGGATTAAGATCTTCATTTGATTGTACTAATTGATTATATGGTGGATGTTGTTGTTCATTAACTAATTTTGATGCACATATTATAGCATATTGATCAGAAGAAAAAAGACAATATATATGATTACGATTTAATGAATAACCTATAGATGATGAACGTATTTGTATTGTAATATGATGTTCAAAAATTTTATTAAATGCTTGATCACGTAATTTTTCACAAGTAACTGCATCCGATATAATTTGTCGAGAATTTTCACCATTTTCATCTAAACGTGTATAATTTGTTGATGGAGAACATTGAATTAAATGTGGATAAACACGTTCAAAACCTAAATGAAATTGTTTTTTTTTTAGTTATTTTATTCATTTAATTTATATACTGATGATTATTATTATTATACAATAATTATAGAACCTTTTTTGGAGAGTCTCGTACTTGACTGAAGTAAAAAGGTCAAAGAGTGCGTTGTTCTTTTCTGATGTACTGTAAAATACTGCTTGTTGACTTCAATGCTACAAAAATAGTCTACCAACTTTAAGTATTTCAAATTTGTATTGCTAATCTAACACTTTTTTTTTTAAAGAATGGTTATTATTTAATGTATGTCAAGAATTTTCGATATCTTGAATATGAAATTACTACATGAACTTTTTATGGAACTTTTCTTAATCATATTTTGACTAACGTTTAATCTCCAACTATCATAATTAAAATCTTATATAATGACAAATACAGAATTGTAATTCAGTTATGTCTAGTTTTATTTTTTCTTGTCTTGTTTGGATCTTTTTCATTTTTTTTCCTATTTTACTACTCCTCAACAGAAAGACTTTCATAAAATATTTTTCTTGTAATGTAAAACTTTCATATGGTTTAACTAATTGACCCCATTATTGGTTGTTTTCTATTACACATGAATATACTCTATTCAATCATCTATATTTATACTAGAGACATTTTGAGGAAGTTCTCATGACAGATCTAGATATGTTGAGTTTAGCCCATTAGTGAGCCTTTTATCGATCTCTTAAAAGCGATATGTTTATGACAACTCTTAAGATGGTGAATATGTTTTTGAATTCATATTAGATTTGATTGTTTGTTGAACAATGTGTTCATGTTTTTATGCTTTAGTTTCGTTGTAGATTATTTTGCTTTCTACATTCGCGATTGAAACTATCTTACGTTGATCTTGTACTATTTTTCAGATCCTCGCTCTCTTCTGTTAACTCTATATGATGTACTTTTTTCTTTTTTATCTGTTTATTCGGCAAATATATGAGACTCAGTTTAATTAAAACAATTAATAAAAATAAAAATAAAAGTCATTTTTTCTTATTGTTCAATGTTAATTAATTGATAAAAGATGATAAAAATATAATTTGTTCATGACCTACTTAATTCTTATAAATATTATGTCTGATTCATTCATATCTTTTTCTCATTAAAAGAAGTAATATATTCAGAACTTTCTTGCTATAAGAAATGCACTGAGTCTGAAAAACGATACTAAGATTTATTAACAAAAGAAACAAATTGCAAAGGCTTCCGGAGATGCCCTATCTAATTCATAATAGAATTATACTTTGAAATCAATTTTTACAACAAAAAAAAACATTGTAAATATGGTTCTATTTTTAAGACATTCATTAATCTTTTTTTATTATCCATATGAAGCAATAATTTAATGTACTTTAACTCTCTTAAGATTATCTACTTATTCAACTATAGTTTATAAGACTAATTAATCATAGAAAAAAAAGCAAATCTTTCACTAAATGAGCTTTTCTAACAAAATGCATTCTATGTTTAAACTAATTAATTATTTATATTAATAATCATCAAACATTAAATTAAAATTCTTTTCAAAATAAAAGTTTAACAAATCGAAGTTTACTATTTACTACATTTATCTAATATATAACCCTTATTTACAGCTCATAATAATTAAATTACAACATGCAAGGCCGTTTAATAATACATTGTGTCATAATACAAAACTATGGCGCAATTACATATAACATACGAAATACAAAAAAAAGAAACCTTGTTACATCGTTTAGGGTAATATAGTATAATTACTATGTCGAAAGTACATCTTAAAAATATCTATTCTATTATACTGATGATTAACATATTATCGATGAATATATTAAAAATTCTAAAGATATTTTATCTTGTAATTAATTTACCAATTTACCTTTATATTTATAAACAATTAAAGATTCAAGATCATGTGAAAAAGCAAGTAAATATTGTCCATTTGGTGAAAATCTTCTTATATATACAGCTTGTGGTACTGTACACATTAAAATTGAATAAGATGGATGAATAGCACGATAAACATTAGTACGTCGTGCAATAAAATGATTTATTCTTGATTTTATATAACCACGTTCTCGATCACGTAACCAACATACTAAATTATGTTTCGGTATCGCACGATGTAAAAGATTTTCATGATCATCATTAATTACTGTACGAGTTTGAGAAAAATTTAAAAAATTTCTACGTTTTGATGATAGTGATGAAGATGATGCCATTATTATTTCGTTTTCTATTAATAATTACATATTAGAAAGAAAAAAGTAGGATTTCTGTTTTTAAACCTTGTCATACAATCATATGGTAAGAAAATGCAATAGATGATGTTTATTTCGATATTGATGAAAGAAAGAGAACTCTACTATCAATGAAATAATTCATGTCGATTGTAGCGAATTAAATAATCAAGAGTTTTAAAATTTATTAAACCTTTTTTGAAAAAATTTTTTATTTAAATAAATAAAAAATAAAGAATAATAAAATTTTTTAAATGTGAAATAAGTTCGCTACAATCAATGTTTATGTAAATACAAAAAGAAAATGGTTGGAAATGATCATGAAATTTTGTTTTCTTTTTTTTTGCTTCTGGCTATCATTCATTTCGATATTTGAATGACAAGAAGTTTTATTTAATAAGGTTAATTTAAGTGAATAAGTTTTTTTTTTTTGTATTTTTTAGAATTAATATAACCCGTCAACTGACGTGTCTGTTTTTCTCCACGTGTGTGTGCGTGTGACCCAAACGTCCCGTTTATTTCTTTTTTGGATTTAATTTAACAGACGTGTGTGTTTGTGAATACGGCGAATAGCGCAGATTTATTTATTCTTTTAAATATTGCTTTTCTTTTGTCAAACGAATATTTCATTTATTAATTATGTCATCAACACGAACTGCTCCACGAACAACAAATATTAATAAAACAACGCCAACATTAAATACACATCATACAAATGGTTCAACTAATTCGTATGATATTAATAATTCAACGGCTAATGTTAACAATACATCTGAGTAAATAAAGAAAAAATATTTTTCTTGAATTTTATTTTTTTTTTTGAGAATATTAAGTTGGTAAATTTCATTTAGTCTAAGCAATAATTAAAAATGTGAAAGGATATTTCTATTCATTTGTTTGTCGAATAGGAGAAAACAAAGAACACTGAGAATTTTAATTTTTGCTTTTGATTCATTGTCTGAATAATAAATATTTGATTTAGAATTGATTCAAATTTACAAAGATCAGTTTTAACAAAGAATACTTCTCAAGTAAGTACTCAATTTAGAAAAAAAAAATTTTTTGTTATAAAAGAATAATCGTTTTTTTTTTTTTAATTATTTAGTCGGAAGGTATTTATCGAAATCCTCGATTTATTCATGCAGTGACTATTGGATTATTGGTAAGTTGATTTTTTTAAATAGAAGTTTATTCTTTCTTTTCGTTATTTCTCAAAAAGAAACTAATTAAATTTGTTTTTCTACTCGAATTGTTTCTTTTTTTTAAAACTCCAGAGTACAATATTGAACAAAAATCTTTTGAACGAATTTGTTTTTAATATAACTTTTGTATAAAGAATAATTTTTGATGAATGATTTGAGTCAAAATTATAGTCATTGTCTATACTATATCCAAAGAAAATTTCATTTCTAAATGATAAATTAGACATATAACAATCTGGAGTAGTCAATTTTTGTTGAACAAACTATCTACGACGATCTTTTAAACTAAGTTATTTTTACCGAAATTGTTTTAAAAATAATGGATCTGTATAAATGAAAAGAAGAGAACATGAGCTACGTGTTAATAAATAAAACTTTTTACAAGCATATTGTCTATAATGTAATCGGACTATTTGACGACAAACAACACATACTATTCATGTAAACTCTTTATCATTTTTCTTTTCAAATATTACATTCGAAACAGTGTCGGAAACTGTAAATCTTTCAGAAAGTGATACCTCAAAAATCGAAAACATTTTTTGGTAAAATTTCAAACTATGTGCCACTTTATGTAGTGTCCGACACTCTTTCACAAGTGATATTTGAAAAGAAAAATGATAAAGAGTTTACATGAATACTGTGTGTTGTTTGTCATAAAATAAGCCGATTACATTATAGATAACTTGTTTTGTAAAAGAAAGTTTTATTTACTACAATGTAACTCGTCTCCTTATCGTTCCATTTATAGAGGTTCAATTTTTTTTTTACAACAACTTCAAAAAGAAAAAAGAGAAATAACTCAATTTAAAGGATCGTTCGAAAACCTTTTGGAGTCAGTTCATAATATTTGACTCGACCAACTTTCAATGTAAATGTCGATTATTTTACTAATAATCAATGAAAATATTTTATTTTTAATAGGGTCAACCAGTCATTATTCAAACAACTGAACGAGAACGTTTTCATGGTATACTTGAAACAATATCAGCAAATGGTGATGTTATTTTATCAGTTGCTCATCGATTAGATAATAATAATAATGATATTATGGGATTATCAACATCACTTATCGATCTATTTGATACAATTGATAATTCATCACAATCATTTGAATTAAATAAACGTATTATTCCATCAACTAATATTGTTGAAATAATTGCTGGTGATATTGATTTATCTGGTAGTGGAAAATGTAAGTGAAAAAAGTAGTTGAAAAGAAATTTTTTTTATTTCAAATTTTATATTCAGGTGTACTTGATGAAAATCCAAAGGCAACTCAATTAGAAGATGAACGTTTTAATCGTATGGAACATTTTTATGGTACAGGTGAAGTTGATCCAGATACATTCGAATATCTTGATCTTGGGGATGATGGAAATGTAAAAAGAAAAATAACTAATGAAGATTTTCTATTGAAAATTATTGTTTTATTTTTAGGCTGGTTATGATCCAGAAGATATGTTTGATACAAATCGAGAAAAATTCAATACAACAACAGATTTTGATGAAAGCAAATATACGTATGTAGTTCTTTATTTTCATTCAAATGAATTCTTTTTTTCTGTTTATTAGAAATGTTCCTATTCGTCAAATGACAGCTGATGAATTAGCAGAAATAGAAAAGAAAGTGACAGAAATTGAAAAAGGAACTCGAAATGATGATATCGATGAAGATGATGCAGGTTATTCGATGCATAATTTTTCCTACTTGAAAAAAAAATAAATCTGATATTTTCAGGTGTAAAACGTCCATCTGAATATAATCAAACACAAAGTGTTGATGATGGAAATAGTAATACTAAAAATAATCCATCATCACGTCCACATACAAATGATCGTCGATCAGATTTTCGTTATGATACAGAATATAATCCATCAAAGTAATTCATTATTTCTTGATTTTTAGGATTTTGTTTTTAAATATTCTTTAATAATTAGACGTGGTAATTGGCGTGAACAACGAACTGGCGGTGGTAGTGGTGGTAATCGACGTGGTGGCAGTGGTGGTGGTGGTTCAAATAATTATTCAATGAATAATCCAAAATCAAATCAACGTTCTGAACAAACACAATATACATCATCACGTTCATCTGAACAATCAACAAATAATCGTCAACAACAATTTAAATCACGTAATAATCGTTTTACAGATAATCGTTCACCACATGAAGGACGTGATTCACCATTACAAATAACAAATGATGAAACGACACGTGGCCAAAGAATCAATAGTGGTAGTCTTTCACAAGGACAAAATTCAGGTCCAACAAGTCCATCAACAACAGTTCCAGCACGTACTATTTATCCAACAAATAATCGACCACCTATTGGAAGAAATTCACCAGCACCATATACAGGTAGTTCATCATCTCGAAATAATTCGACAACAACAACAACATCACCATCGCCAACAACAACATCAGCAGCAACATCATATCAAACAAATTCTACTGGAACAGGAAATTATTCTCAACAATCAAATAATAAAATGGCTAAAAAACCAATACGTAGTAATGAAATTAATCTTTATTTTATTGTTTATGACTTTTTCTTTTTAATGTTATATTTAAGATGAACAATCAACAACTGATGAATCAGATCAACCAAAACCACAACGTAATCAACAACAAACTTCTTCAAATAATCAATCAAATACAGTTCCACTTAATCGTCCATCACAATTACATACTCAACAAATAAGACAACAACAACAACAACAACAGCAACAACAACAAATTTCATCATCTAATAATAATGCTCCACCTCCATTAGCACTTCCAACTCAAGACGATCATTCATCTAGTCATGAATCAACAATAAATCCGAATCAGTCGGATCAAGCAATACATTTAACAAATACGCCTGTTTATACACAGCATACAACTGGAACAATGTATGTTTATTTATTTTGAAATCATATTCACAAGAAAAAAACTAAAGAATTCCTTTTTTTTTTGTAGAACACCTGGTAGTGTTAAAACAACTTCAGGCTTAAATCCAGAAGCAGATGAATTTGTTCCTGTATTTTCGGTAATATTTTAAATAATTCAAAAACAAAACAAAAATTATTAGTTTTTATTTTTATAGCGTGAAAGTAGTTCTCGACCAGAATCTCGTGGAGCAACAAGCTCAATGTCGATCAATACATTTATTCCACATCCTCATCCACAAGCACTTCATCTTTTACAACAACAACAACAACAACAACAACAACAACAACAACAACAACAACAACAACAACAACAACAACAACAACAACAACAACA